CACATGATCTCGATGACGCAATAATAACAACCAAATCCCACCATTTGGTTATACAAGACTAACCCAAAGATCAGTACTGAGTACTGTTGACCACCTGTTTTCCCTCCAGTTAACAGTTTAAAATTAGGAACGGCTAGTATGTCCTTATATGTAGCTTTTCGCGAAAATTCTGAAACAAAAAACTCTTCGTTCGAAAAATGGTTACATGTCTGAAAGTATTTTATTCCAAAGCATAAATGTTATCAAATTATTAACTACGTTATAAGTAACTAAATATTAAAGTGAAAACAAAAAGTTTAACACAAGTTTGTTTTCCTTAGTAGATAATTAATATTTACTTTTCAACTGCATATTTTCAGTCAGTAGAGGGATTTTTAAAGAATGGACGGAGGAAAGAAATTTGTGGTTCCTAGTATTAGTGAAATTGATGAATTTGTGGAAAATCAAGGAATATCCGTATGTAATATTAACATAATTTTAATAGTAATACCCTAATTTGTTTGTCGGCCTTATATGCTGCTTTTGTAGACTTTGTAAATTATATACTATAGTATTAGTAAGTCTTTTTGCCTAGTTTGACAATTAGTGTTTTGTGAATTCTTGCTGAAGACGAACTTAAACTCAATGAAGCCTTTTATTTGGAGTTTCAAATTTTATTTCAATGTCTTCAACTTCACGACTTCTGTATTCTAACGTCAATTTAAGTCTCCTAACCTCTTATAACAGTAGTTGTAAGTATAATGAGTATTAAATATTTTCAATGCATGGCTGAAGAGACTGTAGGTTCTACCAGATCTACTAATTATGTTACTATCTTTCAGGTACAACAACATTTTCAGCCAGGATTACTCCCAGCAGAAAGCATAACAAACAAAACCAAAGACAACAAGTGTTCAGTTCAACAGAAAGAAGGAGGAGATAGTGATTCAACTATAGAAAATACTAATGTTCCAGACCACAAGGAACATCGTAGTAAAAACTGTCCAGGACCATCAACAACATTTGAAAGTGCTTTTGTCCACCTGAAGAATTCTAAGTACTACTCTTTGATACCTCCTGGAAAGGAGAAAATGTAAGTTTCAAAATGACTTTTTGCAACTTTTTTTGAAGTCGACTAGAAAAAGAAAAGTATTTTGTTTCTGTTTTATTTTTTGAATTTGAGAATGACTTTTGTAATAACAGAGATTGCAGAAAATGTTTATAGATCATTGTATCAGTATTAGTTTTTAAAAGTGAGAACATTGGAGTTGCTGTAGTTTTTGATAGTAGATGATGAAGAAAATGGATTATAAAAATTAACAGTAATTGTTCACCAGTGGAACAAAAGAAAACTCCAACACTTAATTAAGGAAGGAAAAATAAAAACATTTTCAATACCAGATGATGTTTAAACGATATGAATAGTTTGACTAGTGAACCAAACAAAACATAGAACTGAGCAGAAATAAAACTATTGTAATTCATAGGGTAAGTACAAAAATACCATATGATGTTTAAATGATATGAATAGTTTGACAAGTGAACCAAACAAAACATAGAACTGAGTAGAAATAAAACTATTATAATTCATAGGGTAAGTACAAAAATAAACCTACTGTAAAAACTGAGTAGAAATAAAACTGTTATAATTCATAGGGTAAGTAAAAAATAAACCTACTGTAAAAACTGAGCAGAAATAAAACTATTGTAATTCATAGGGTAAGTACCAAAAAAAAACTGAGTAG